GAGGAGACTTTAGCTAGTTGGCTGATAAAACTTGGGACTGCAACAAAAACTTGGAAGAGTTTAAAAACAATGTGCCAAATGCCTGCTCTAATCGTCTGTCTGAAAAAACACAATTTGGCTATCAGAAACTGATGAGTTCTTTTTACTTCCTTATTATTGCAAAAAAAAAAAAAAAAGGTCCTACTATGCTCCAGCAGTGAAGAAATTGATACAAATGAACCAAAAAAAAAAAAGCAAAACAAAATTTTGAACGAATGCGCTACTTCTTTGAGGTGACAAAATACAGTACTGATACATTCACTGAATCCTAAGCAGCCATGGTAATGGCAGGAGCTTTCTCTCCACTTTTCACGGAACAAAACATATTAAGAACATCAGCATGGTTTCTTATGTATCTCGGGCTCTTAGCAAGAAAGTCTTGTGCTTCATTATGCCTTCCCACTTTGAAGTAAGCTTCGAATAGTTGCAGAAATACAGATGTGGATGGATATCTCTTCACTGTCATTGCTTTTGAAAAGGCAATAGCATCATCAGGGCTTCCACACTTAGAAAGGTACTCAATGAAGGGCTCCAAAAAGGGTGGATATCCTTGTTTCTTCATCAGGGGAAGAACATCCAAAGCTTCTTTAAATCCTCCTTGTGCCAACAACATGCCTATCAAGATTTTGTATGTGGAATGCCAAGGTTGCAAGTCTTTTCCATCAATCATTTCAGTAACAAATTTGTATGAATCTGCTGCTCTGTTCTTACGGCAATATGTACTAACCAATAATTCTAGAGCATATCCGGTACTAGAAGCATCGACTTTCTCAACCATCTTTCGGAAACTATCTGAAGCTTTCTCCAGGTCACCAGCCAGACAATATCCTTCAACCAAGGATGCCCAGATTTTATGATCTGGAGTAGAATCAGATGCCTCCATGTTATCCATAAATTCACCTGCTTCATCATGTTTCCCACCCCTGCTCAGTTGAGAGGCAATCTTTCTTTGCAAAGTACCGTTGAGTTGAAACCCACCCTCTTCCAAGGCTTTTATGATGCTGTTGCACTCCCCAACTCTTGCAACGCTGGTCAAAGACTTGAGAACTGCATCAAAAGCAGAATTTGTAATCACATTTCCACCCTCCCTAAAGATCCTCACAACTCTAGACAATAAGTTCATATCCAGCTCCTTTCCAACTACAATTTTCCGCAAAAGAAAGGTGCAATCATGCACTGATGGCTTATTCAAGCCCCCCATTGCAAACTCGTACAAATCCACAGCATCCTTGATCATTCCCTTCTTAACAAACCTTCCCAAAACATCAACGTAGGTGTCCCTGTACATTTCAAACCCAGCATTCCTCATCTCATCAACAACCCTCCAGAATTTATTACTCGCATCCTCACTAGCTAATGCCCTCACCATAGCATTATACGTACGTTCATCATGTTTGCAGAGACCGCTCTCCTCAACCCACCTGAAGAAAATCAACCCCTTGTTTGCACCAATCCCAAGATTGTCCACAACCATCGACACCAACTCACTAGAAAACTCAACATTCAAGCCCCTAAGCCGCTTTTCCACATTATCACCCCAAAGCTCTGATCTAATAGCTCTACAAACCCGAGAACAAAGATTTTCAACTGAATTATCAGTCGACCCGGACGCGTACAAATCTTTTAACTTCTTAACATCATCACTCATCCCATCCTTCTCAAATTTCTCCAAAGCTTTAACAAACGTACCCTTCGATACTCCATAACCTTTCTTTTTCATAGTCCCAACCATATCCCAAAATTCCTTCACAAACCCATTACCAAGCAGTACACCCAGCATCAAATTATAAGATTTCGAGCTCAATCTCTTCTCGTTATCACTCTTTGAAACCCATTTGAAGAACCTCCGCGCCACATCAGGGGCAGACTGGAGATTCTTCAACGCATTCAAAACCAAATCATGGGTTATGACAATGTTATTGGACTCTAATTGCAGCTTAATTTTCTCATTACTCTCTGGGTCCGGGAGAAAATGTCAGTCAGCACAGCAATTTGGTTTTGATCGGGTTGGTCTTTGGTGGGTTCAACGGCGAGCTCAGAAGAGGAGAAAAACCGGAGAGACATGGGGGGTTATGAAATTGATTGATAGTAACGCGCCGGGATGAGGCGGGGAAAGCAGAGACCATGACGAGATAGAGCGGGTAGAGTTTACCTGAGAGTGAGGTAGAGTGGAAATGAGCAGTCGAGACCGAGAGTGGCATCGGAGGAGAAGAAGCCACGCCATTGATTTCTCATTGATCTGAAGAGTTCTATTGATGGGTTCCGAGATAGAAGCAGTTTTCGAGGTTTTCCGGCTAAGAGTCGAAAGCTAGAAGGGGTTTTTGATTTGGATTTTAGGGTTTGGGCCCTTTCGGCCCTATTTTGGCTGGGAGAGTGAAACAAGAGCGCGGCAGTTTGAAATGAAAATTCACGGATTGACCGTAATTATTATCTCTGGAACAAAGAAAAGCCCATCGAACGAATAAAAAACTAAAGTAAGTAAGTATTCTTTTTCTGTTGTTTGAATTTTTATTTTTTTTATTTTTAGAGAGATCACATTTAAGAAGTAGGAATAAGTAGGGTTGTAATCGAGTCGAGTCGAGCTCGAGTATCGCTATACTCGAGCTCGACTCGACATACAGTTAGGGTACTCGAGCTCGAGCTTGAACTCGAGCAAGTAGTATTATTGGAGCTCGAGCTCACATTTAAGAAGTAGGGATATGTAGGGTTGTAATCGAGTCGAGTCGAGCTCGAGTATGGCGATACTCGAGCTCGACTCGAGATACAACTAGGGTGATCGAGTTCGAACGAGTAGTATTATTGGAGCTCGAGCTCACATTTAAGAAGTAGGAATAGGTAGGGTTGTAATCGAGTCGAGCTCGAGTATCGCCATACTCGAGCTCGACTCGACATACAGTTAGGGTGCTCGAGCTCGAGCGAGTAGTATTATTGGAGCTCGAGCGAGTAGTATTATTGGTCGCAGTACTCGAGCTCGACTCGCATGGGCTCGAGTCCATTCGGGCCTTATCGAGTTCGCTCGAGCTCGTTCGAGCTCGAGTTATTAATTTTTATTTTCTTAATATTTTTTAAGCAAAAAGACATTATTGTCCTTTTAAAATTTTTATATGACTTGAAACATTTCGTAAATTCGACAATTCTTTTGGATATAAGGGTAATTTTATAATAATAATATATTAAATAATGAAAATTAAAAATATTAAATAGTTAAAATTAAAATGCTCGATAAGGCTCGTCGAACCTTCGAGCATCGCTTCTGGATGCTCGAACTCGACTTGATAGCCTTATCGAGCTGCTCGAACTCGACTCGAACTCGATTTAACCGAGTTCGAGTCAATTTTTGCTCGCGAGCAGCTCGGTTCGATTGCATCCCTGGGGATAGGGATGGCAGACACCAGATACTCTCAAAAATCTTTCATAGCAAATTTAACTTGCATATTTTAATTTTATACCAAACCCTACTGGGTCCTCTCCATTGCGTAATCCTAATGGTTTTAACTTTCGTTACCAAATCGCCTCACTTTCAAATTTGGATTGTCCATTAGATGTTAATATGAATAGTTCAAAAAAAGAAAATTAACTATCATCAAATTAAAATTAATACATACATCATGTTAAATTAACATATTACGTTGAATTTTTAAACTTTGACGAAGCTATAGAGCCTACGTAAGAGGAATGAAGGATTATGCAAAGAGTTGGGTTAAAGTTATATTTTATTAACAAATAAAACCAAGGCATATGTGTGTGTGTATGTTGGGTATCGGGTTTTTATGGTTCTTTTACCGAACTCTATTCTTCAATAACCTCTCGTCAATGTCAGATCCTAACAAATTATCCATTGATTGTCCAAGTCAATTAACCATTGAGTTGAGTCTTTGCAGATATTGGATTTTACTCTACTCATCGTCATCTCTAAGCGGGGAAAGGAAGGAAGAGATTATTCATTTTTGTGTGGACAACATCCGTATAAGTATTAATAGGGTCATTTTAGTTGACAAAGTAGTTTATGTTAGGCATCGTGCAATTTACTAGTTGGATTATGAGTATATTAAGAATACGACTATTGTAAAGTGTGGAAAAATTAAAAGTTGATGCATTTTCTACAACCAAAAATCGAGTAATTAGGTTTTTTTTTTTTTTAAATTTGGAAATCGAATGATAAGTTTGGGATTTGCTCATCTTGTTTGAGGTATACTAGGGGAACTTTCAAGCAAAAAAAATGAGTCTATTATGAAAACGATTTAAGGCTTGAGATGGAGGAGGCTTGCTCATCTAGATCAGGGACTCGGAAGTTGGAAATTGTTCAACACAGATGCCCCGTTAATATTAAAAATACTAATAATATTTTTACAAATTTTTCGCTCCTTTACCGGATTGGAAGTAGAATTTTCCAAAACTCGGAAGTGCTCAAAAGAAACATTTAATATCATGTTTTATCTTCAATAATTTGTGTCACCTAACTTTAGTTACTTCAAGTACTTCCCAGCCACTGTTTAAGTGGTTCTCGGAGGTAATTAATTCTTCCCAGATTGTGATATGCATTTAAGCCTAAATTTTCCTACAATTAACAGTCGTCGAATTCTTTTGGTTGGGATGCATGGTGCTTCTTGGCTCAGTTGTGCATCTGCGATGGATGATTTGTTTAGTTAAAAGAATGATATATGCATTATGCAGGCAAGGATGGCAAAGAGCAAATTGGTATAAGCCAAAGCTCCATAAATTGACGTGCCTAAAGATTCAGCATAGTTTTATCGTTGATTGCTTTGAGATGAACAACTTTTCTCCTTCTCCCCTCTTCCAAAGGCGAGGCTTTTGGCTGCCCTCCCTCACAAAGTCCCACAAAAGTCTGAAGAATTTCACTGGATATAAAAATAGGATTCGCTACCAGAAGAAAAGAAAGTGGTTATGCTGTTTAGTGGCGTTGAGTCAAACTAAGAGGAAACTGGACAAAATCACTTCTTGTTGGAGAACCAAGAAGAAATACTGGAATTTTATTAGATCAAGTCGTCAAGCGGCCCGTGCATGATTACAGGTACGGACCCTCCCTCTTTTTTCTTTTTTTTTTTTTCCCCCCTTTTCTTTTACAGATGGAAAACTGATAAAATGATGAACATCTACAAGAAAAAGGGAATTGCCAAAAGAGTACGCAGAAAGCAGAAGAAGAGATAAAATGTGAGAGAGAGGTCCAACTCCAACCAAGAGAAATCTGGGATCAATCGTGCATGAAACCAGAGGTGCTGAAGCTGCTGCACCCTCTTCATTTGTTCATCCCCGTCGCATTTTTAACAGCATCGGCTGCTCCTTGTGCCGTGGCCTTCGCCTGCTGCCCTGCCTGCATACACACAACACACCCCAGACAATTTTACCATAACCCCAAGTAATTAACAAGCTTCCTTTTTTTTAAAAAAATTCTAGAAAAAAGAAAACAAGAAATATATTGCATGCATGTATTGTGAGAGTAGTAAACAGGTATGGTAAAAAATAATAATCAGAACCTCCTGCATGGATTCCTTAGCTGATTGAGCCGCATTGCTTGCCTTATCCATCATTTGACTTCCCTTTTCCTGAAATCAACATAATACACACAAGTGATTGATCCATTCCTAGTATTCACCAATTATAACACTGGCAAGAGAATTCAAGTTAAGCGGGTGCAGTGATGACCACCTACCTGCATTTGGCCCTTGGCCTGGCCGGCTTGGTAACTCGCGTTTTGTGAATTATCCATGCTCTAGCAATTGATATGATTTTTTTGAATACTGTACTAATAATGTAAGATGAGGTAATTAGGGAACTGATACCAGCAGTTCATACAAACACGTATGAGTAATTGATAGTGGAGACTAACAGAAGTGAGATAATGAGGCATTTATAGAGGAACTCAAGCCGATAATGATATAGGGTGGACACGTGTAATAGAGGAGCAGGCAACGTGGCAACTGTTGGCATGGCCATGGCTGACACATCTTTCGGCCTTTAGACTAGGGAATAACGGTTAGTCATTTGGGTTTTAGGAGAAGAACTACTTTTGCGCATTTGCCCCGTCCACTCATTTTATTGTGGCATGTTGGTATCCAATCTCCCGTTCACCAAAGTCCGGGTTCAAATCTCGCATCATTCCCTTTCTTCATAGCGTAGATTAGTGCAGAAGTAGGATAAATTGTTTCAAACTTTTGCGTACTTTTGCGTGAGGTTGGGATCCTCTGTGCATACTATACTTCTGCGTCCGGAATAAGGATCAAACGTATCATGTCTTAACCCCTAGTTTGTTAACTACTTGGCGTCGTGTTTGGCGAGAAATTAAGTAGATGACGAGAACATTTAAATAAGCTCCACGTTTTGCAGGAATCAATCGTATACTCGAGATGCTTTTCCATCAGTTAGAAAATATGTTTAGGACGTTCTTACTGCTTTACTCTTCATTGCCGGTTAGTCCTCTTCTCAGAAACTACAAATAAACTAACACCAAGAGATGCGACAAGCATCATGACTCATAAATATATAACCAAGCTCTGCATATGTGAAACCCGAGCATTCAGCACATAATTTCAACTATTAGGCAAGAAAAAATGGAGTCTCTGAGAGCTGTGTTCTTAAGTGGTTATAGTTTTATCATGTGGATTGACAGCAGAAACAAACAAAAAAGGTGGTGGATTTACGGTCCTGTGACTACTCGGCACCTTACAACTTCGGTGATTCTAATTCAGATACAGGAGGAATGGCAGCAGCATTTTTTTCCAATGATAGCACCTTGTGGTGAGACGTACTTCCATAGATTTGCTGGTCGGGGATCTGATGGCTGCTTGATTATAGACGTCATTGTTGACATTTCTGAGACCTCAAACCTGATCACTACCCATCTTATCTTTGTTTTGCTGACGGGGTTTTGGTCCTTTATCTCCTTTAGTTGTAATAAGGAATGCTTCAACTAATGTTTGTTCCTCTAAACTCAGCTGAGCACCTGGATTACTGTTGCTAAGTCCCTACCTGGATTCAGTAGGAACCAGTTTCCGGCATGGAGCAAACTTTGCAACTGGAGGGCCACCATTTGCCGGCAGAACGAATCTTGGTTTCTGACAGGTGTAAGCCCGTTTCCTCCGGATATTCAAGTCGAACACTAAAGCACGAACAGCTTACTTCTACGATCAAGGTAGAAGAAATCCCGAACTCGAAACCAATATACGTTGGTAAATTATATATACATCCTAAGCTTGATGATTGATATGAATCTTCTCAAATTTTGCGGCCAAGATAGCATCTGATGTAAACAGGCTCCCTAGACCACAAGACTTCTCAAAGGCTCTTTACTCATTTGACATAGGTCAAATTGATATACCTGCCGGTTTCCAAACAATGAGCATGGAAGAGCTTTAAGCCACTCTTCCTGATATAATCAGCCAGTTTTCTAAACAAATCTGAGTGAGTTCTACAGATCATTCAATGATTAGAAGTGACAATCAACTGCATAACAAACAAATGATCTATTCATCACTGCTACAAGATACTTAATGACAGCTATATCTGGCAGGACTTGTATTCAAAAGAAGCAAGAGTATTCTGGATGCACAATACAGGTCCCATTGGTTGCTTGCCAGTGGCCACTATCAAAGTCCAAAATCCAGAGCTCGGATATCTTGATGACCATGGCTGTGTAAAGAGTCAGAATCATATGGCTGTGAGGTTTAATAAAAAGCTCAAGCATTCAATTATCCAACTCAGGGCAGAGCTTTCAGAATTTACAATAACCTATGTAGATATGTACAGGGCAAAGTACGACTTAATCAGGAATGCAAAAGAACAAGGTACTTTATTATCAAACCAGGGTCAATGAACAGTCACTTCAGAATCATAAATAAATCACCAAACTAGTCAATATTGCTTCAGTTTTTAATTTTTTTCTCTTTTTTTCCCTATGATAGCAGATTAAACATCTAAATATTAATTAAGAAAAGAAAACAGTTGGCTAAACTTAAAATATAAGGCATCAAAATTCCCCAACAGAAACCATGTGCTGTATTTACTATGTTCTTTATTGCTAATAGACACACTCTGTGACTGAATAGACAATGTGTTATTCCCAGAGAATATAATTTGACTGCTCCTTGGAAGCCATTTTTAAATGCCAAAGTTTTCAAGAGTAGTTTGAAATTAAAATTTATACATTAATTCAAGAACCACTTAATGTCCTAATTACACCACTAAATTTTCCATTTACAGGATTTGAGAACCCTTTCAAAATCTGCTGTGGACTTCATGGAATCGATTTTGATGTCTTGTGCAGTAAGAAAGCAACTATAAATGGTAGTGAAGTATATGCAGGTTCTTGTGCAAAACCTTCTGCAATAATCAGCTGGGATGGAGTACACTATTCTCAGGCTACAAATAATTTGATTGCTAGTCGCATAGTCAATGGATCACTTTCAGACCCACCAATGCCAATCACACAAGCATGTCGAAGGAAAATTTGAACAATTCTGTGCATTCAATAATTAAACTATTGCTTCTAAAACTCCCAAGCTTTTTTTTTTTTTAAGTGGGAGGACTCGAATCCAAGACCTCTTACTTACACTCTCTTCCCTCGAACCACCCAACCCATCCCCCCCCCCCACCCAAACCAAAAAAAAAAAAAAAAACTCCCGAGCTAGTCGTGCTTACTAGAAATTTAACCCAAAAGTTTTAGAGTTGTTTCCAAGATGTAATTTCCAATTTTCAAAGGCATCTTCCTCCTATCCATACAAAACACCACCTTCCCCACAAAATAAATCAACTCTTGCTGGTTTAAGAGAGGAAATATACCAGCAACCCATACCCAAACAATGAAGTAAACTGTTTCTCTTTTGGAATCATAGATCAAGCCAATACATATGTACTAAATTTTAGAAAGCATGATCAGCCATTGTGATCGTCCTGGATCAGCCTATTGCATATGCTAGTTTGCTGGAAAATAAATGCACAATACCTGGTTATTCATAGCTTCCAAGTCTCAAAGCAAGAAAAAGATCATATGTACCATCTACATGGCTATTGAAAACTATTGTTTCATTGCTAAAAGCAGACAAGTAAAGAACATCCATTTTGATAACTACATGCCATATTAGAAAAATTTCTCTCCCTAACACAAGTAGCAACAAGACATGGACAGGAAGGGGGCAGTTTCTTACTATGTAACAAAACAAAACACTATCTACATAAAGGATGAGGCAGATCCTTAGGAGGACATTATTTGGCAGTACTCCACTTTAAGGCCTATCAAATGACTATATACCCAAATGACAGATAATTTCATCTCTTGATTAGCGCACATACTTTTAGTAATAACATATATTCAGCACATCGACATGCCAGAAAGCCACACACTGCAAAAGCTAGACAGGAAACTTGGAGTTTCAACTTATCCTGAGGCAACCACAGCCTCACTTTCTTAAAGAATCCAATTCAGTGCAAGTGTTTGGACAACAATGTAGCATGCATAATTTGTTACCTGCTTTATGAAGCTCCTCGATGGTCAAATCCATAAAATGACTAAAAGAGTATCCCCTTAGGGTCTGATCCATCTGAATTTCCTGTAAATAATTTCAGACCCAGCGTAAATAAGCTTTATGCAGAACAAAAGCCGTGTTGCTTAGACAAAGAGCCCACTTGTTAAATCCTGAGACATATTTACCCTGATATTAGCAAACTAGATAAAGCAACATATCACAATGAGCCAGGAAATCTTTTCATACCAACTTCAACAATCTTAACAATTTTCCCACAATTGTCAAAAATTAAATTATTTAAATTTCCTTTCTGTATTGTTTTACTTTGTTGTTTCAAAATTCTTCGAATTTAAGCTGTCGCAACCAAAAATATGAAGCAGAAAAAAGTCAATTAAACAAGAATATAAACCTCAAAATCAGGTAATATAGCAAGATCAACTTGATGTTGTTAAATTGTTTTAAAGAAAAAAAATTGATACTCTTTTTATTCTTTCATCTGATAAATACTGTAACCAAATTCACTAGATAACATTGAGTGTGTTTGGATAGGAGATTATTCTGTTCTAGATAGTGCTCCTTAATCAAGCAGACCAGGCATTCTTCAAATTTGCATCAAGAAACTTGAGATTCGAGTTCTTTGAGTGTGCCTGAAAATCTATATCCACAGTCCAAGGAGATGCCTTTTAGTGCATGAAAGGCAGGAATATGAATCATAGACAGGCATACAGATTATTCTAATATTTCAACAGTCTACTTTTTACAATGTTCATCTTAACAAAATATGTATGTATATACACATGCACACACATATCCATGAAGACATATACAAACAAACATACATGTACATATAAGTCCATTTGTGTCTGTCTATGTACTGCCAACTAAAAGAGAACTGCTACCATTTTGCAAAAAATCAAAGAAAGAAGCACGCAAAAGTCCAAGCCAAACCAAAAACAAAGCAACGTATTTTTGTAATGCAATCTTAAGACATATCATGAATAAAGCAAATAAGTACAGTTTCAAATTGCTCTTTCCTGATCAAATTGAAGGACAAAGTGGAACTTTGGAGGTGATAAAATCTATAAACTGTGACAGTGCATCATCAGAATAACAAGATATGCATCTTAAACAGAAATAAGTGTTCAGCTATCAAAAAGCTATGCCAAGGAAAGCGTTTCCTTCTAGCATTGATATAATAGTGTGAGTGGAAATAACTTTCCAACCTGCAATGAAGATTATTCTTGGGAAATTAAGCAGTACCATATGCCATCAGAACCTGCCAAAGGGATTGAATTGCCACAGATATGGTCTCTAAAAGCAAGAGAAGTTGATGCTCAGCAACTTATATCCTTTGTTCAACATCCTGGTGCATATGAAGGCGAACCACACTGAACTACCCATGTAGTGTGGCTAGCTTGAAAACACAAATTTAGAAGTTTGTCAACCCTCATTTATTTTCAACTCTTGAATGTGAATTTGAGTAGTTTTAGAAATTAAGCCTCTATGGACCAAATTGTCCCAAAAGGTATTTAGGCAGCTTCCATCATTAGCAAAAGAATCACTAAAGCTTTTGTAGATTTTGAGAGTTACCATCAACCGTCTCCTATACATCTCATGTGACAAACTTGAAAATGCGACCATGTTTCCCTCTTTCAAATAAGCATAAGCCAGACTAGTGTATACCACACTATCTCCTGATATTCCCTTCTCATTCATAGTGATAAAAACTTTCTCGGCGCAATCAACCTTTTCCCGCTTACACAGGCGTCGTATAAGTGCCCTGTATACAGAGATGTCAACACAAAGACCTCTCTCTGAAAGTTCATCTGGCAATTTTATTATTGCTTTTTCATCATCTTGGTTGCAGTAAAAATCTACAAGCCAAGAGAACATGCAATAACTTGGAGACAGTCCTGCAGCAAGCATCTCAAATAATATATCTTTAGCGCCATTTACATCCTTCACTTTGCAATACCCATGAATTAATGCCTTAAAAGTAAAAGAGTCAGGTTTCAATCCAGCCCCTAACATCTTACTTCTAACCATCAAAGCAGACCTCATATCTCCAATTTTGCAATAGGCATTTATCAAAGTATTACATGTGATGTTATCAGGTTCAACCTTTTTCCCATTCATCTCATTCAACAGTCTATTTGCGTCCTTTATCCGACTGTCTTCACACAGTTTGCGAAGAATTGAATTATAAGTCACAACACCAGGATACAACCCCTTAGCCTCCATGGCATCACGCAATTGTAAAGCTTGATCAAGATCATTCACTCTGCAATATCCATTGATCAAGGTAGTGTATGTAACCTGGTTTGGTGTAACCCCTTTAATTTCCTTAAAAAGCCTGTGAGCCTCCCTCATTCTACTTTCCCGGCAATAACTGTAAATGAGAGAATTATAGGTAAAGATATCCGGACAAACACCCCAGATTTCATCCTATCCTGCACACACAAAGCCTCATGATGCATGCCCTTTTGCAGTACAAAGAGATTAACGTATTATACGTTATTAGATCAGGAAATACAGCCTTAAACTCCATTTCTCTCAATAACTCTTCTGCTTTCTCCACGTCCCCGGACTTGCAACAAGCATGAATCAACACATTGTATATATGCAGGTTCGGAACGACCCCAGCTTTTATGATCTTCCTGTATAATTTCCACACTGTATCACATAATCTATCCTTGACCAAAGAGTTCAACAGGACAGTACAAGCATGCAAATGAGGTTTAAACCCACATAGCCTCATGTGCTCAAACACTTGAACGGCATCCTGTGTCTTTTTAGAATTAGCATAAAATATCACCAACCAACTCAAAACATGAGAATTCACATCTGGACTGTCACAACCGCTCACAAGAGCATTCAACACCGTTGGCGATGACAAAAAATCTTTAAGCGCAATCTTTTCAAGCATAGCATGTGCAGTCTTGAAATGCTTTTGCTTAGTTAACACACAAATCATTGTCCAACAAGACTGTAAAGAATGGTTGTAATCGGGAATGGTTTCAACCCATTTATAAAATGACCAAGAAAGAGAAAACCCATATGACGAAAGGCTAATAAGTGCCTGATTGATCGTACTTGAAGACACAAAAGAACCAATCTTGGGCTTCAAAATATCATCCCAGTGACCCTTCACCACAATGGCACACACAGTTTTGACAAATAGACTTTCACTGCTTACCCTAACGGAGCTAGCCATTAAAAATCAAGCCGAATACACCAACGATCTAGTCCAAATAAATAATCCAGAAGATGCCTGCTCTTGATTCTGAGAAACTTGGCAAGAGTAGCAACTCGTTATGCTGGTCCATGAGAATTAATCAATTATTACTAATTATAAATTGGGAAACATAGTAGTAAATCAGAACCCAACCTTAGGCATCGTTAGGCTTTAATTTCCCGTATGGTGTGCGGCTTCATGCAAAAGTGGCAGCTCAGTTGGAGACCTGGGCCAGAGACAAACAGGAAGCGCGGAAGCTACAATAAAGAAGTTATTTTTATGGCCAGAGAAGAAGAACCTAATACAATGCCGCGTTCAGGCTAAATTTTCGGAGCCCCGAAAACTTAAACCTCAGCCTCGGTGGTATATAGGGCCTTCGACTTCAGACAACTGAGGAAAGAATTTGGCGGAATCGCTGATGAGGGACATGGCCGGTGACCGACTGGGGATCAACATGTTAACCGGTATGTCCGGTAATCTTTCTCCCTGGTTTGCGAGTTTAGGAGAGAGAGAGAGAGAGAGAGACTAATAAAAGAGAAAATACAGAAAAAGGAAACAATGGGAAAGAAACACTAAATAAATTTTCATCTCGCTGTGAGTCTGAAAATGGAAAAGATAGGACTCATCTTTTATTTCGGAGTCGACGTGAAATTAAAAGAAAAGATTTTGCACGCAGACATCCTACATATGTGTCATCTTGACTCTGATAATGCCTTTAGCAGCGGCCACATTAATTGTGAAATGTTAACGTGGAATGTGAGATTAAAGGTTAAAACGTTACTTTTCATTAATACAAGATTTGTTCTAAATTCATAAAAGTGCATAATATATCATATGATCTAATAGTAATTCAGCTCCATCAAATTCCTCCGATTCCATTGGACACCATCCCCTAGAGTAGGCCTATGACACTGACTTCACTAAATTGTATTTTCCTTTGAGTCTACTAAGCCTAATTTTAACGAGTATCAGCATGTAACATGTCGAAGGACAAAATGGTTATAGAATAACACAAAGATTAACAGCCTGTAGTTTCTTTTCCTTTCTTCCCTTCCCACTCATGGGAGGAAAAGCTTTTCAAGTTTAGAGGGATCTAGAGAGTAAAAGACTAGAACATTAATACATGCATTAGTTCGCCTGACTGCCATTAAGGCAAAACAGGAGGTTGATGGTACCAGTTGATAATTTGTTTTCACTGTTCTAGAGAATGCATATCAGATACAATACCCCTGCGGCGCGGAGACTTCTTTTGCTGTCTTTGCCTAGAAAACAGAACTGAGTAAACATATGAATATAGTCGGGAATAGGGAAACCTGTAATAGCCGGGACAAAAAGGTGAAAGAGACCAGCCCAACATGGTCTCTCAACCAACCATGCGGGCCCTTGACAGTTCCCCATCTGAAGGAGGAAAACAGACTTCTCTCCTCAAATATTATTTTCCTAAGTGAAACAAAACATAGGAAAAATTACATGGAAAAAGTAAAAAAAATCCTGAATTTTGAAAATAGCTTTATAGTGGAAGCAATGAACAAAATTGGTGGCATGGCCTTATTGTGGAATAATGAGGTGAAGATCTTTGACGTTCAAGAAACAACCTTCACTATTGAGGCAAAAGTGGAAGATGAAGAGAAAAAGGAAAGTTGATGGTTTATTGAAATATATGCTAGCTGTGATGGTCAGATAAGAAGGAATCAATGGGAAGTCATAAATAGAAGGAAATCAATCTGGGGAGCAAAATGGATAATCATGGGAGACTTTAATGACATTACTTCAAATGATGAAAAATGGGGTGGAAGGGTGAGAGATAATGGAAGCTTTCAAGATTTCAGGAAATTCATATATGATAATCAGTTGGTAGATATGGGTTATGAAGGGAAGCCGTGGACATGGAGCAACAACTAGTATGGACCTGGAGAGGTAAAAGAAAGACTGGACAGGGGGTTATGCACTTTAGAATGGTCAAATGTTATGAGGAAGCCAACTGTACTCATATAGAGTCCCAAGCTTCTGATCATAGTATGTTATTACTAGAAACTCAGAAGGACAGGAAGCAAAGGAAAAAGAGATTCCAGTTTTGATAAGAGGTGGCTCCAACAAAGTGAGGTAGAGGAAGTGGTTAAGAAAGCTTGGGACATTCCATGTGCTGAACAAGGTGATTTAAGGTAAAAAAGAAGATTAAGAACTGCAGAATTGAGTTACTAAAGTGAAGCAGTAGCAAGAAAAGAAAATTCCTCCGAAAAATTAAATGGTGCAAAAACCAGATTGAAGAAATCAAGGCATCTACTGGAGATAACAAGAAGCAACAAGTACAGGAAATGAAGGGACAATTGAAAAAGGCATATGAGAGGAGAAGCTTATTGGAATCAGAATTCAAGATTGAGGTGGCTAAAGGAGGGGGATAAAAATACTCAATTTTCCATGCAACGGTGAAATGAAGAAGGAAGAGAATAGATTGCAGAATTTGAGAAAGGAGAGTGGAGAATGGACTACCAATGACGAAGAACTGGGTGGGGAAATAGCCAAATATTATGAGGACCTGTTCAAATCGAAAGCAAATAGGCAGCTAGAGGAGATCTTAGAGGGGATTCCTATAACTATAACTGAACATATGAACAAGGATTTGACCAAAAAAGTGGATGAAAATGAAATAAAGAATGCATTTTTTTCAATGAATCCTAATAAGACTCCTGGAAATGATGGCATGTCCTCGTTTTTTTTCAAAATTTCTGGAGTCTTATTAAAAAGGATTTGGTAAATGCAATCCAAGGATTCTTCCATCATGGAGTCATCCTCAAAGCCATAAACCATACTATTATCTCTTTGATTCCAAAAGTTGATGGTCCTACAGAGATTAATCAGTATAGGCCTATTAGTCTTTGTCAAGTGATCTATAAAGCGTTAGCAAAAATCCTTGTTAACAGACTAAAGCCTTGCTAAGTAGATGCATCAGCAAAAGCCAATCTGCATTTGTACCAGGTAGGCAAATTTTAGACAATGTCATTCTTTCTCATGAGTTGATGCACTATCTAAAAAAAAGGCAAGGTAGAGTGGGCTCTATGGCAATGAAACTGGACATGTCTAAAGCCTACGATAGAGTGGAATGGAGCTTTTTGAAGGCAATAATGGAAAAAATGGGTTTTTGCTCAACTTGGGTAAACTGGATCATGGCATGCATAAGTACAGTAACCTACTCCTTCAATATTAATGGTGAGCACAAGGAGGTTGTCACCCCCTCAACAGGTATCAGGCAGGGCGATCCACTCTCCCCATACCTGTTTTTGCTTTGTTCAGAAAGGCTATCAAATTTGCTGCAGAAAGCTAAGATGGACAAGGAACTGACAGGAATAAAAATTAGCAGAAGGGCGCCCACAATAACTCATTTGTTCTTTGCATATGATTCCTTGGTATTCTGTAAAGCTAACAAACAAGAAGCAGAGAAGTTGAAAAAGATCCTCAAAGAGTATGAATAGGCAACAAGGCAACTCATTAATATGGAAAAGTCCTCAGTCTTATTCAGCAAAAACACATTGCCATCTGTGAAGAGTGAAGTCTGTCAGGTGATGGGATCCATTAAACAGGTTGAACAAGGCAAATATCTTGGGTTACCAATGGTAATAACAAGATCAAAAGAGCAGGTATTCGGATTCATAAGAAACTCAATAGATAAGAAATTGAAAGAATGGGGGAAGAAGTTGTTAAGCCAAGTAGGGAAGGAAATAATGATTAAAGCTGTGGCAATGGCCATGCCTACCTACACTATGTCCTGCTTCAGACTAACCAACAAGATATGCAAAGAAATCAGTACGAAAATGGCTAATTACTGGTGGGGTGATGCTGATGGAAAAAAAAAGTTACACTGGATAAGCTGGAAGAAGTTGACAGCTAAGAGAAGCAATGGAGGAATAGGATTTAAAGATTTGAAGCTGTTTAACAAGGCTCTATTGGCTAAACAGATCTGGAAACTAATAACACAGCCAAATTTGTTAGTCAGTAGAGTACTAAAGGAGAAGTACTACCCCAAGCAATCAATTTTCAATTGCAAGGTACCACAAAATGCATCTTGGATCTGGCAGAGCCTAGCAGGAGTAAGAAAGGAATTGCAAGAAGGAGTTAGGAGGAAAATTGGCAATGGGAAAGGAACCAAAATATGGGAAGATAATTGGATCCCAGGAACATTGGAAGGGAAACCAACTGCTACAAGGCCAAGGGTGTCAACTGATATTAGTGTCTGATTTGATCAGGAACAACAGATGGAATAGAGTCCTGGTATTCAAAACGTTTAATTCACAGGATGCTGAGAGAATACTGAATATACCATTAAGTGTAACAAGATGTGAGGACAGCTATTTCTGGATGCATTCCCAGGCTGGACAGTACACAGTTCAATCTGGTTATAAAGCTTGGCTGAAGGCAAAGGAAAACAAGTACACAAGAAGGAAGGAGGATGCTGGAACAAGCTTTGAAGGAACTAACTCCAAGATCTGGAACTCATTGTAGCAACAGAAGGTAAGCCAGAAACTACAGGTTTTCATTTGGAAATGCTTGCATGGGGGACTCCCAGTCAATGAGGCAATTTTTACAAGAACAAAATTAGGGAACCCCATATGTACTGGATGTGGAGAGAAGCTGGAAACGATCGAACACATGCTGCTGCAATGTACTAAAGTGAAGGAAATTTGGAAAATGGCGCCAGTGCAGTGGGATGGAATTGAACATCTGTCTGACAACTTCACCAAATGGTGGTCCGCAGTCCAGGAAGCTCAAGCCAGTAGAGGTGTGGAGGATCAAGTGAACATTACCATCAACATTCTCTGGCAATTATGGAAATTCAGGAATAATAGAGAGTTTAACCATAAGGAAAATGAGCCTTTCAAGATAATTGAAAAGGCACAGCAGGAGTGGACAGAATATAATGAAGCTAACAAAGGGGAGAATTCAAGAAGGAGCACTCAGGAAATAGCGATACAGCAAAGGACCGTCCAGGTTCAAAATGAGAGCCACACTGGTATGTTATTAAAGATCCACACGCATCAAGACAGAAGGCAAGCAACAGTAGGGATTGGAATCACAGCTATAGATAACTTGGGATAACTGCAAGCAGCCTGGGCACTTAGAGAAAGATCATCCGGTGATACATTACAAGACCAAGCTGTTGCGATTAGATTAGCTCTACTGAAAGCAATGTTTTTAAACTCGGACCGGTCAGTGAACCGGAGAGGTGGCCGGTTCACGGTTCGACCGGTCCGACCGGTCCAACCGGCCGGTTCAAAGGTTCACTGTTTTTTTTTTTTTTTTTTTTTTAAGTGTTAAGTACTAAGTAGGTTTCATTCTACACTTGAACTTTACCAACATAACTTAATTTAAGTTATGATAATAATAAATTTTCTAAAAGTTATACATAAAACATGGAATGATAAATATAATTAAAATATCATAATTCACCATAAGTTTTCATAAATTCATTATAAACATAAGTAGATACAATCCAAATGTTCACCAATTATCACAAATAAAAACACAAAAAATAAATAAATTAAATATTGAAATTCTTTTGCAACCCTTAAAAAAATCCATAAAAGAGTTCAAGTTAAGACAAACTATTTGAATAGCAAACTTTTATCAGTGGCATGATAAGCAACCACACCACCTTCACAATTTCTTCAACTTAAGATGAAAAAGTTAAATTTTTTTTGTAAAAATATAAATCTAATTGCTCAAACTAAAAAAAAACTAAAAATTTTTGAAAAACAAATATACAGTTAAACACATAAAAAATTAATTACTACTAAACATTACTAATTAACATGTTATATTAAATTCAATGATCCTATACCATTAATTATTTTAAATTCAATTATCAATAGCTTCGATTATGTGCCAACTACCATATTTTTGACCAGTCCAATGTTATTATTTGTAATTTCTACCCAATTCCTACACGGATGTGCACTACTTTTGCAAAAATTTCATTCTTAATTAATCGAATAAAAATAAAACAAAATGAGGGAAACATATAAAAATTGAGGGGAAAAAGAAGAAAATGCAAAAAATCAACTAAAGATAATAATATAGAAAAAAAACCTTGAAAAGAAAAAAATTAAACTTACTAAGATGTTGGAAAACAAGAAAAGTTGAAATTTTCAACTTGTTTACAATTTGCTAAAGATAATAACCTGATAATAATGGTGAAGACTTGAGAAAATCTTGTTGTGGATATTTGGGTTAAAAATGGTTAAGAAAAAAAAATAAGAAAAGAACTTGATGTTTTAATATATTTTTTAGTCAAGTAGAATTCTCAACAAACTTAACTATAGTCTAGCGGTGAGATTGTCAAATCCAAACTTGGAAATCCACGTTCGAATCTTAACTACACCATTCTTGATATTTTGTTGAACAATTTAAAAAACCGCCGGTTCACGGTTCTTAACGATTCACACGGTTCGTCCGGGTTTCAACGGTTCTCCATGAACTTCCGGCTTTAGCATTAGATCGGACCGGTGACATGGCCGGTTCGCGGTCCAACCGGTCGAACCGGCCGGTCCGATCCGGTTCTGAAAACATTGACTGAAAGTTGCAGGCCAAGGCTGGAGGAATATCAAAGTAGAACTTGACAATCGCAAGCTGGTAGAAAATATAACAGCAGCAAAGTACAACAATCAGCTGATGGCCACTCTAATTGAGGACATTCGATCCATTGGTACTTTGTTTCAACAGTGCTCTATTCTTTTTGCTAATTCTAGGAAAGTAGAAAGTATCAAATTGAGCATTCATGCTCTAAACATCTGGTTAGATGAAGTTAGGTGAATCTCAATCTTAGATGCTAGGCATCAGTGATTCTGTAGGATAGTTTGTCCCTTTTGATTGGACCTTTGTCCAAAATATTGTAAAGTTTATAGTTCTATATATATAAAACAAACTAACGTTTCGACAAAAAAAAAAAAAAAAGTAAACATATGAATATAGTAGTTCAACCGTCTTCAATTTCAAAACAAAAAGATACCATGTTGATTTGTAGCGTTACATATGATTTTAGCAGCTCATGCCGTCATGCCAACAATCTGCCGTTGTGCTGTTCCCATACTGCAAATTCACACGTAACCGGTTCTCGTGTGACCGGCTCTTCTCTCCTGTACCACCGAAGACAGAAGTAGTAGGAGTTGACATGGACAGAACAGCCTCACAGAAGAACAAATTCAAATTGCACGAAAGAATAATGAATTGCATTTTTCATAATTTTTCATGAAAAAATTACTATAGCGATTTGATGAATGTGAAAAAAAAAATAATAAAAATATAATTACAAATAACGATATAATTTTTTGACGAAAAATAGCAATCCAAACAAGGCCTAATTTTTATTCGCAACGAACTAGATATAAGAGTCAATTCAATTCAGACCCAAACATGCAACATGAGGACTAAAAACCCATAAAGAACCTGCGACCCGACTGAAGCAGTCGCAAGAATAAATACCAAAGTGAAAGACAGCTTTATTCATTGACTTGACTACAAGAACAAGAAGAAGAGACCTTATTGTAATCCCCGACAACAAGCACAAAAGGGACCCCGTTGAAATGAAAATACTTCAACACACAATTAAAAATGGAAGACTCTCTCAATTGTCACTCTTCCTTCTCGACGTACTCGTCCTCACTCTCGCTCCAGCAGCATTTCAGAATTGACCTGGGAGACCCACAGCAACCAGCGCCAGTGAAACTCTGGTAGATAATTGATCCTCCCTTCCCGAGCATTTCACAGCTCCTTTCCTCACACGTGTATCCTTTCAAGTTCAAGTTGAAATCAAAATCAAGCTCCTCTCCAGAACTACCACTGTGAAGAGCAAAACAAAACTCCGTGGGTTGGAAACAGGCCAACACCCTTTCAAGAAGCTTGGTCAAGTCTAGAACTTTCAAGTCATATCCAACGGCTTCAAAACTAGCATAATTGAAGCCATCCTCGGGTGTAACATAAATAGTCGAGATTGCATCTCCTTCGATTGAATTCATGGAATACCCACAGGGATCAAAGTCAAAATCACAGATCTCTGATTGGGGAAGAATCTTTCTTATGCCAGAGGTTTCAGTCATGACAGCAGCAGACCTTGACTGTGTTTTATAAAACACTGCAGCCCTATTCTTGTCCAACCCAGTCATGCACATTTCTAAGGTATAAACCGGGTCCACATTTTCCATGTGTTCAGCTGAAGCAGAGTAGACATGCCATTTCTGCTGCTTGTCAGCACCACCCATCAGATAAGCTCTACTGCCTGCTCCAAGTTTGCCAAAATAGCTGTTTAGGACAGCTACTTCCTCAGAAAAATTGCGGTGTGGATAAGGCTGAGCACCAGGAAATATAAAACTCCCACGGGAATACCTCACTGATTTCACTGTGAGTTTGAGGTCACCAGCAAACTTCAGGATCAATGGAATTGAAAGAAGCAACTTTGTAGTCCCACAAGTTTTGAGTATGATTTTGTAAGGGAAGATGAAAAGACTAGATTCTGAGAGTACATAGGAATCGACTTCACCATTCGATAATGAGGACACAATGGTGCAATGAGCTGGTTTTAGAATTTCATCCAACTGGTAATTTGATAAAGCTCGAAGCCCACGACCACCAGGGTCAGCAAAGATACCAGGTTCAAAAAATGATATTTCAAGCCTTTTTTCAAAACCTTCAAATCCAATGGCAGAGACTGGCAAGGCCATCTTAGCTTAAGAAAGACAAGTGCTGATTGAAAGAGAGGATCGGAAGGATGAATGAAGAGACTAACCAAAAAGCAAGCAAAATATAAAAGTTTCAATTACTACAATTCTGGTGATTATCAAACAACTAGGAAAATCTCAAGATGGCTTCCGAGCGCACTGCACATACAAGATAAACAAGCTACAGGTTAGTATGACACAGTTATGATATTAAAAAAACATGACACAAATTACATTACAAGGGAGCTAAACTCACGTTGGAGTAAGCAGCAGATCTGAATTTCTTGATTCCTCCAGCAGGTCGTACGTCCTCAATGCTGTATCCAAGGGGAGCTTCGTAGAATAATGATTTACTACCACTAGACTTCTTCTTCCCACCTTTAGACTCCATTAGATCATTCAGTCTTCTTCCTGTCAAACCTGTAAAAAAAAAAGGATCAGATAAACTCGAGGCAGAATGAACAGAGGAAAACAAACAATTCAGCATTAAAATTTATGAACCTGATAGTGACAACCACAAGTTATCCAGCACAAGAAACAAGAACAATGAATCCAGATGTTATGCTTAATAAGTGGAAAGGTTTTATCAAGCGTATACATCAAGTAAAGATATCCAGGAAGGCAAAAAGGCGAGACAGAAACCTTTGCAAGACGAAAAGAAAGCACTTAAATTGCAGGAAAAGCCAAGGCAAAGAATGCCATGGAACAAGTTAAAATAACAAATGTACTCAGAGGAAAAAGAAATCAAAATTGAAACTTAAAACTTGAGCAGGGCATATAACCATTGGCAACTCCCCCCCACAAAAACAACAACCAAAAAAAGAAAGAGCCAAACTGCAAAATCAATTGGTTTTGAAAAAATCACAACAGATTAAGATCAGTGGCAAAGATAACAGCCTTTTAGCTCTCCCCCCGCCCCCACCACCAACACCCCCACCCCAAAAAAAAAAAGGAAAAAAAAAAGGAATTAGAAATCTTCTTTGGCGAAGGTATACAAAATAAAAAATAAAAACTGGAGCCAAAGAAAACAGATAATTCAGGAATAAATCATTGGTAAATATAAGATGGTTACTCCAACTAATATTGGCATAATTACTCACAATTAAAAAGATCAACTTCCACGTATGTGATTATAATAATTTTCTTATTATGGATGATAACAACAATGTGAAGTGCAAATAACCTAGATACAACAGGCAGACAATATTTAAGAAAAAAAAAAACCAAACCACGTGCGAAGAAAATAATATAAACGGGAACAATAAAATAAAACAGGGTCCCAAAACTATGGTTCATAGCAACACCAAAGCTTATCAATTGCCAAAAAAAAATTATATAATTAAATAAATAAGAAGGCTCACCGAAAATTACCTTGATTCGAAAACACACAATGCAGCAGAAACCTCAAGCAGCCGCACAAGCCTAAAAATCCAAGAAACCAAATCCCAATAAATAAATATCTAAAAATTCACTAGTAGATGCAAAACATAAAGGGCAGTCCAACAAATAACAAGAAACTGACGTCTTACCTCTTGTATTTAAGTAATTGACGATAGAGAATAGGAAATTTGACAAGAGAGATCGAGCAAACTCCAATTTCGTGCTTCTGAATGACGGGGTTAGTCTGTCTTAATTTTTCTGCAGAGAAAAAAGTGGTGGAAAGAAGATGGATTTTCTCACTAAATTGAGGAGCCACCCAATGCATTATATATAGAAGCAGAAAGCGGACAGCTTGTGGTCGATGACCGTGCCACGTGGTTGAAGGAAGCATGATATTACGGTCTTACCCCTCCGTGATTTGGCTTAAGTAGCTTTAATTTTACGGTAAATGGGAACCAATTGGAACTAGAATCAATTCATCCTGTATGATACGATTGGACTCCAGCTCATCTACGTCTTTTAGTTCAGTCATCGGTCGGGTCTGGTTAGACTTCAGCCTAAAATCGCAGAAACACAGGCGCTTTTAAGGCTTTTCATCTTTTTTTTTTTTTTTTTTCTTTTTAACCCTTCAAGGAGGAGGACGGCAAAAAAGATTCCATGCACGTCCGAATTTCTCGAGGCTTCATTCATCTTCGGGGTTTGTTTGGTTGAAATTTTGAGAAGGAAGCACTGAAATAGTATCATTTTACTGGTTTTCCAAAGAGCAAGGAACGTTTTTGGTAGTAAATAAATGGTAACAAAAAAAGCAGGTCAAGGATCCAAACAAATTGTCATTTAATTAAATATTTTCTTTTTTTTTGTTTTTGTGTCAAAGGTTCAATTAACCAATTTCATTCACCAAAACTTATCTATGGACCAACAATGAGCTTAGGCAGCATCGCCAGAATATTAATGTTAAACCATTACAGTCTTAGCTTCAAATTGTCATTATTTAGTCTATACATTTTCATCATTAAATATATGACACATAATTCAAATTTGAATTTGAAACTCAAATTTTACATATGTATCGTATATCTAATCATAATAGTGTATACACCATCGTCAATATATATAAGATTTATTCAAAATTTTTTGTGGCACGATTGCATTTTGAAATCTTGATCACCAGACCATAAGTGGTTTAAAAGGACACCTCAATAATTTTCGCAAGTTCTGTGAAGTGACTAAGTCCAAGCTCCGCTGTCTTGCCACCGGAGTCCAAACAGAACCAAATAAATCCTTCACTCTCTGGCTGCGGGCTGATCCAACGATTTTCGAATGAACCATGATAACCAATGGTCCGACGGCCCACAATGAAATATAAAATCCTCTGCCCTAAATTCTTTCATTCGTAGAACCATGGAATGAGATCATTTTTTTCTTTTTTTTTTTGAAGGAGAAATAGGAGAAATTGATGGGATATTTAGGTACTTGTTATGATTTTCTAAGAAGTTTTACCCAGTTAATAACTCCTAATAAATCTGCAAAATTAATTGATTTTGACCCCACTTGCAGCTAATTACAAAGGATCACGAAAGAATTATAAGTAAATTGAGAGAAAATCTGCACGCATTTTCTTTTGTATATAAACATTGAAATAAGACTTCCACTCTCGAGTCAAAAGTCTTGCAATATGTTAGGTGACGGAAACTCGAGACTTTACTTTGCACTCAACAGCTCGATAGCATTGTGGTTTCTACTACTTTGAGAAAATTGTCTACAAAGTAGGGTGGATGTTTTAATCAGATCTAGTTAGAGTTGTTCATGAATTGAGCCACTCGTGATTGTATGAGCTCGAGTCGAGCTCGGTCAATATCGAGCTCGAATTGAGATTGAGTTAATCAAGTAGAGTTCAAGTTCAAAAACATTAAGTTTATTGACTCGTAAACTCAATTATATATATATATATATTTAATAATAAAATTACATATACATTCATAATATTTGTTAAAAAATTATTATTTTATTTATTTTTGAAAATAAAATAATTATTTTTTATTTTTAAAAAATAAAAATAATAAAATTTTTTTTTTAAGTTCGAGTTCGACATTTTGAACTCGTCGAGTTTGAGTTCGAGTTTCATAAAATTAATAAGAGATTCAATTCGATAAGCCCAAAATTCGACTTGACTCGATTCGTTTGCATCCTTAGATCTAGTTCAACTTTTGTGATTTTAATTTCTTTACAAGTTTGCATAAATCTTTTAACTGTAACCTAGCTATTTAATATGGTCATTCATATGTTATTACTTAATATGTTCCTATATATAAAAGGTAAGGAAAGGATACGGTGTAAAATTTTTTTGTCAATTTTTATTTATTTATTTTGTTTAGCTTCCCACTAAAAAGCTAAATAGTAGAAACTTTCAATAAGTGCTAAAATCACATTATGCAGCTTAGTTAAATCTTTTAATAACTATTTATTATTGTTCTTTATAAATTTTTTCTTTGAAGCTGCACAGGCATGAGCGTGCATTTCCCAGCGGTTAAAAACTTAAAATTGGTCTCGCATTGGAATTTAGGCTGATAAGATACCACTACCCGTGGTCGGATAGACTGACTAATGACTGATGTCCAATCTCATCCCAAAAAATTAACTCAAAAATCTTGGCCCGCCGACCCTATCCTGAATCACCCTTCAGTCCTCTCAGGCTTTGCTTTCTTTTACAAAATTCTCTTCTAACAGTCAATGATAATGGAAGATCTGCTTGCCTAAAGAGAGCAGGTGTTAATATTTCAGAACATCAAATAAGAATACCAATTCTTTTACTTGCTCATTGAACCAGGTATTTTTGCTTCTGCAAGTGAAATCTCGAGAATAATCTTGTATTGAGTTGAAATTCTTTGTGGGTTTCATGGATTTTTTGTTGACTTCATTGTAGTATAAAGATGTCAGCTTTTCCAATTATTCCCTATAATGGCTTAATAATTTCTCAAGAAAGATTCAAACTTGATGTCGGAGAACCAAAATTTTTAGGAACATATAGAAGTGTAGCTAGCTCATTTTCTAAGTCATATCATAGTTTAGTTTCTCTGCCTTTATTGGGATGGAATTATGGTCATTGGACATCCCAACATAGATTATATTCGCATAGTACTAGGTTTAAGTCACTCAGCAATGAGACGACACAGGCAGAAACCCGCTTGGGGAAAAAGGTGAATCATGGTACGAGAAGGAAATTTTCAATAAGATTGCGACCGAGGTTAAGATTATACTGGAGAAGATTGAAAAGGGTTTCCATAAGCTCGATTTTAAATGGTCTTGGAACATTCATTCGTAAAAACGTGAGAAGAGTGACCCTTTCGACTTCTGTTGCGGTTGTTTTGGGGCTCTGCTTATTGTTTCTGAAACTGACTGCAACGACGCCTCCTAAAGTTGTTCCCTACTCCGACTTGATCATGAGCCTGCAAAATGGAATGGTGTCAAAGGTTCTTTTCGAGGAGGGTACTCGTCGGATATACTACAGCACAGAATCGTGGGTGATGAAAGATGCTCAAATATCAGAACGTGAAGCTTTAGCTCCTGGAAATAGTATAGATGATGGTCAAGCCGGCAATGATGTTCTAAAAACGAGTCAAATGGGTAGCAATGTGCTTAATAAAATGGTGAAAAGCCGAGCTTCTACTCCTTTATGGCAATTTTCTACCAGGAAGATTGATCACGATGAAGGATATCTTCTTAGTCTAATGAGGGAAAAAGGAACTTCATACAGCTCAGCCCCTCAATCACTACTTGCGTCAATCAGGAATTCATTGATAACAATGCTGTCATTATGGATCCCATTAACTCCTATCATGTGGCTTCTTTATCGTCAACTTTCTGCGGCCAATAGTCCAGCTAGAAGACGAAGGCCAAGTAATCAGTTGGTTACTTTTGATGATGTGGATGGTGTGGATACTGCAAAAGTAGAGCTTATGGAGGTATCCTCAAAATTTTGCTCATTAAATTTCATTTGCAGACACGCTTCTCATTGTTGATTTTTCAGAGAATGCATATTAGAACTAGAGATTGTAACTAAGAGGAAGTTTAAATGGTTATGAAATTCTCTTTGAGGACATGATTCATGTGGGCCCGCCTGTGTAAATGCAGCTAAATATAGAGCAGAGATTGTTAGTTCAACCTTTTGACTGCTCTGTGGTACCATTTGCGCTTGATGTGTGCAATGCTATTTGTCCCTTTCTTAAGCTGAACAAATTGTTTGGTTCAAAACTTGGATATAGAAAAAGGAATATCATTCATAAGGAAAGTTCTGCAATCTTTAAGTTTTGGCAATAATCTTATCCCCAAAGAAAAAAAGTTTCAGCAAAATAACTGTTATGAGAAAATATATTACATGCTGTTCTAAGCAGTATTATGGTTTTTTTTTCCCTTTTATTTTCCTAAATATCTTTCTCTTTTTCTTGTTTTACTAAGGATGAGTACAAGGAACCAGGTAACCCATTTACTGGACCTCTTGACCCTTAAACATTTTTTGAAACTTAGTGTCACTCCTCATTAAATCAAGTATTGACCTACAACATTAGTTGTCCAACTGCAGTTTAAAACTGTCTTGGTAAACTTGAATAGTTTATAGTTCAATATATGGAATTGGTTTCATACTCCATCATAGATGTAGATCACTAAACATGGTTTGCTTCTTAGATGAGCATTGGTATGTGAACCACCTGGTGTAATTGCTTTAGTTACCAAATCTTATACTCAGGATGATTATAGACACTAATAGTTCTCACCTATTTTTGGTCTGGAAATGAGAAAGTCAAATTTCTCAGCATCATTATATGAACAATAGTTGTGATTGAATTTCTGCTTTGATTTTCACTTTCAATACTGCTTGCTAATAGTAAGAGACATACCTTCGTTACTATGAAGCAAGAGTCCTGGAGATACACTTACCATGATTGTGCTAGGTTAATGATCATATATGTGTGATGATCTACTTGGATATTCCGGCATCCAAAAGTATAATGCATACTTTTCTTAAAATGAACACAATACGGTCATAGAAGGTAGCTGGACTCACTTCTTTCTTCTTTTTCCTCTCTCTCTCTCTCTCTCTCTCTCTCTCTCTCTCTCTCTCTCTCTCTCTCTCTCTCTCTCTCCGTTTGGCATTGACTGTCTGTCTAACCTAGATTCCTATATTTTCCTATATTTTGTTAAGCCTATGCATAGTTATCAAAACTGAATAGAAGAGGGAGGTAGTACAAATTCCAAACTTGAGTCACTTGAATATTTTTCAAGGGCTACACAATGATAAACTTC